AACACAAGGAACCCTCTTTTGCTGTATACCTTACGTTCCGTCGCTTCTTTTTGTTTTTCCCCTGCTTATGTCGTTTGATTTCCCTCCTCGCAGCTTTTCTCCCCTGCTCCTTGCTTTCTCTTCTCATCTGACTCTCTGTTTTCACTTCACTCCCTTTCACATTTCACTTTCTGTTTCCACTTTGCTTTCTTTCTTTTTTGTTCGTGTGTTTTCACAGCGTGTCCTCTCTTTTCACTTTTCTTTTTTGTTACCCTCCCTCCCTCTTTCTCTCTCTCAATTTCTCCTCCCTCCACAGCCTCACTCGTCTCTCTCTGTTCTTACTTAGCTTTCTATGCTCTGTGACTTTCTCTCTTCGCTCTCTTCTCTCTCTTTGCTCTCTTCTCTCTCTTTGCTCTCTTCTCTCTCTCTTCTCTCTCTTCTCGCTCGCTCTCTCCTCTCTTTTCTTCTTGACAGTCCCTCGTTCCCGCCATACGGCTTTTCCTTCCTTGTTTGTTTCTTTCCTAATTTGGAAACCCTATTCTTGGTACGTAACGGTAGGTGGAGGTGAGCCCGTTTTCAAGCATTGAATTCTCGACGGTTGGTGCCAATTTTTTGGCGGGTTCCGAAACACTACCACCTTTCCAACCGCGGGTTGCTTAATTGCGCGCACTATTTCGTTGAAAAAGCGCAAGCTATCTTCCTCCCTACCTACATAGCTATCCACCTACCTTCCTAGGGCCTACCTATATTTTTTTTAATTATTATTTTGCTGCCTACCTATATTCCAATCTAAGTCCATGTTGGCCATGGAATAGCTTCCGACTTTCCCCCGAACACAACGTACCCTGATTATGACTGGTATCGCAGCGGACAGGTTGCTTGTAAGTATTCATGATCAGGGTGCGTTCTGTTGGGGGAAAGAACCATGAAGTTTCATCTCAGCCATTCATTCATCTATCCCTTCCATCCATCCACCCATGAAGTTTCATGTCAGCCGTTTATTCATCCATCTATCCATCCATCCATCCATCCATCATCCATGAAGTTTCGTTCATCTGTCCATGAAGTAGCCGTTCATTCATTCATCCATCTATCCATCCATTCATCCATGAAGTTTCATTCATCTGTCCATGAAGTAGCCGTTCATTCATTCATCCATCTATCCATCCATCCATCCTTGAAGTTTCATTCATCCGTCCATGAAGTTTCGTTCAACCGTCATTTATCCATCCATGACGCTTCATCTCAGCCATCCATCCATCCATGAAACATTAGGCTTCCATGCATGCAGTTTCATCCCACCAGTTTGATTCTTTCATCTATCCTTTCTGCCTATCTATCTGCCTATTTATCTTTATTTACCTTTTATTAGTTTGCCTATTTACCTCTATTATGCCTTTTATCAATCTGCCTATTTACCTCTATTACCTCTATTTGCCTTTTATTAATCTCTCTGCCTATTTACCCCTGTTTTACATTTTCTTAGGGGGATGTATAGTATCTCGTCGGTCAACCAGTCATGCTTCTCAAGCTACTGCTGAGATCGTTAGGCCTGCTGCTATTTCGTTACGAATGCTCATGTGTGCCCTACACGCGGCTTTGGGCACGCACCGGAGCGCTACCATCTTCACTCGAATAGAAGACGATACGGAGTTGGGGTTGTTATTCGGGCGTAATTTGGGGTAACTCTATCTGTATTTGGTGTAATTTTCAGTCTAGAGACAGGATTGTGAAGACCGGGCATAATTTGGGGTAACTCTAGCTGTATTTGGTGTAATTTTCAGTCTAGAGACACAGGATTGTGAAGACCGGGCGTAATTTGGGGTAACTCTACCTGTATTTTAATTCTAGAGGCAGGATTGTGAAGACGGTACAGAGTCGGGGTGAGGAGGGGAGGTGGAAGATGGTGAGAATGTGGGGCTTGCCGCTAATTCATTAGGAACCAATCACGCTAGGTCAGTTAAAGAGTTTTTTTTTTTTTTTTTTCCCCTCTGTTCGAGAGAGAAAATAAAGAATCCAGTAGGGGAAGAGCCGCGAGTCTTCCGGCAGCGTTAGCGTTAGGGCTCCGCGACACCGTTGAGGCTGTCCGCGGCTGCCAGGGCTGATGCCGCCTGAAGACTCAAGGCCGGGGGGACACGGCGGTTGGCGCCAGGTGCGCTCTAAGTTAGTGTTTTCGGGCAGTACCGAGCTACTCCTTGGGAGGAAGGTAATTAGGTTGTCCCTGGTTAGGTAGGCTTGTTCAACATGTGAATATTTGGTTTATGTGAAGAATTTGTGGGTTTGATAGGAGTTGTGAGAGATAGCAGTGGGTGTGCGCCGACTTCCGGCACCCACCTTTGACGTGTTCGGCTATTGGGGTGAAGCGGAGCGGAGGCTCAGGCACCGTAGTGCCCTGCCTATCAACAGGCTGGCGGCGTCGATATGGCGTCACAAGATGCACGGGCGGTGGCCGATCGGTGAACTCCGACATCCCGCTTTCAGACGAAGATCGTTTAAAGCTCCTGATCTCCAAGTGCTATGACGACGGTGTTCTTCCAGAAAAATTTCGGCATGGGGAGTGGGTTATTGAGGGAGGTGTACGTACGTTTGTGGTCAACCCTAGACTTGACGAGTTGACTACTAACTGGCTGAAGGAACGAACCGTCACCATTATATTTCAAGGAGCGGCTCGGGATCTGCCGATGCGGGTTCGGGAAGACCTGGTTCGAGCGTATGAAAACGGGTGGTATCGCCAACGCATCTTCGACCGCAGCACGAGGCGTGGAAGAATCCATGCTGAAGGGCCGAACGTTATTTCCTATGTCGCAAGATCAAGGGAAGTGGCCCAGTGGATGGTTGCTAAAGCGGAAGATACCATTGCAATTCGGGGGGTGGAATACTCCATGCAATTCAAGCCGTGGATGACGAAGACCGAACTGGACGAGTGTAGACGAATTGAGGATGAGTCCAAGTTCTGGGTGATGGCTATAAGGGTGCCCCTTCAGGTAATGTTCCACGTCGAGAATATGGTTGAGACGTTGATGGGCCGTGTGGTTAAGAGTCTACCTCCGGAGCAAGACAAGACACGGCCCAAACTCATGAACCTAAAGTTTGATCTCGTAAAAGAAGCGGAGGACAGCTTCGAACCGGAACTCTTGATTCGTTTGGGCAGGGAGGTGTTCAAAATTCAGTTTGTATGTAAACACACACCATGGTGCAAGAGATGCAGATGGTGGTTCCACACCTCGACCGATGGCTGTCCTCGCGCAGGCGAAAACGACGATTAAGATCAGGAGGGTCAAAGACACAGCAACAATCGGCAGCGGCAACAGCCCGGAGATCGCCACGTACGGGATGCGGCCAGAGATGAGTCAACTCAAGCCCCAAGGCAGGGAGGTGGCATCCAAGGTTTGGAGGAAACCGCGGGTAGGCGAGTGAACCAACGTCAGGCTACAGTCAGAAGCAGTGAGGCTGGCCGACATGGACCTGGTGGAGGAAGAGAGTTCAGTTTCTCAGGAACACAGAACCCAAGGGGCGTGGCAGACCACAGAGTGCGGCATTCTTCGGGAGGCGGTCCTTCGCACGCTTCTCCTCCTCAAGAGACGGCGGCAGGTTTTCGCCCGTATGTCCCATTGAGACCGCCACCATGGTACGAGCAGCAGCAGTGGCCTCTCGGTCCATCTGCCAACATATATCACAACATGTTTCAGAATGATCATGGATCGGGATCGGGCTTGAATTACGGTGTGTACGGTAGAGGAGCTCCGGTCCATCCACGCGCCTCGACACCAAGGGACCAGCGGGAAAGGGGATTGTTCCAAGAAAGAACCACAGTGAGAGACACAGTCCTGCGGCCATGAAACCTCTCATGGACCTGAAGAGCAAGTACACGAAGAAGGGGAAGGGGATTTTCAAGCCACTCCAACACCTTCGCCTTCAAGGGATGAGGGTATGGACGAGTCGCCAAGGGATATCCCAATTGGGGTTCTGACAGCGGGACGCGATGAACCACCATTTGAGGAACAAATGCTTCTCCCATTGGTATGCAGTTAAGGCCAGGAAGCCTTTGTAATTGGCCGGCTGGATAGAGAGGGTAACATAGTGCTGCCCGCTACGGGACTAAACGAAATTCCAATGCCCGCGCTCATCCAGGAGCGAGTGCGATATCTGTATGCCGACAGGTTCAACTTCCGCCTCTATCTGGAGTTTCTAATGACCAAGCTTAGAACAGAGGTCTCAGGGAATAAGGTAGTGCGATACACAGTAGTGTTTATCGATGCAAGACTGCCTGTGGAAGCTTGGGCCAGTCTGAGCCAGGTGGGGCTTGGCTCTTTCCCTCTCCACGCACTGTCCCAACTCTCAATCGATCTGCTCTCAAACATCATCATCAAACCAGGAGTCTCAGCTGCTTGTCTTGCAGACCTCAACCCAAACATGCCACGAGCTTGCAACCTGACCTCTGCGTTATTCACACAATGCCTGACTGCCAAATGGCCAGTCCAAGGCTCCAGAACAGCTGAGGAAGAACTGAGGGGTGTGAACCCTCTCCCTGCAGGTATCCAATCTGATGGTCTGAATGGCACATCTAATGGGTAGAATTCGGGTAGCATCGTGGAACGTTCAGGGCCTAGGGAACCTAGTGGGAGGGGGGAAAGGACGCAGGCTTAAGTCATGGGTACACAAGAAGAGGATCAACGTGGCAATGATTCAGGAAACTAAACTGTCTGAAGAGAAACTACTGCAGCTCAAAGACTGGTGGGATGGCCCGCAGCTGTGGTCGCCTGCAAGGGGATTGAAAGGCGGTGTGGCCATCCTAATCCACAGGAAGGCGGAAGGTCGCCTAATTGACTGTGACAGTGACGCCTGGGGCAGATGGTGCTGGGTAAAGCTAGTGATAGTAGATCGAGACTTGGTTTTTGCAACAGCGTACGCACCCAATGAGGAAAAGGAAAGGGTGTTTTTTTCTTCGAGACCCTTCCCTTTGTGCTCCCGAAGCATGATAGGCTGTTAGTCGCGGGTGACTGGAATGTGGTACGATGTCCGGGGTTAGACTCAAAGCAGACAAGGGAGGGAAGCAGGATCGAAGGAAGCTGCTTAGATGGACAGAAGATTGGATTACTTCCTAGTCTCAGCTGCAGCCTCGAGCGAAGTTATGAGAGTTGTGACAGCCAACGAGTCATTCTCGGATCACAAGTCAGTCGTGATGGACTGTGCCATCACAGCCATGGAAGAACGAGGCCCTGGTTACTTCCGGTTGAACACAACTCTGCTTGAGGACGAAGGCCTAATTCTCTGGGTAAGTGACTTCTGGAACAACTGGAAAGAAGTTAAGACCCACACAAGCGGAATGGGTGGATGCAGGTATGAGAATAATCTCTCTGAGGCTTGATTCGTTCTCCCAGATCACGGCTTTCATTCGCAACAGGGAAGAACGGGCGCTGAAGGAGAGGGTGGAGGAAGCAGAGGAGAGGATCGGACAGCACCCAATCACGGACCTCTTTTGGTCTGAAGAAAGGGCAGAAAGGTTGAGACTGTGGAACGAACACCAAAACCGGAAAGAAGAACGCCGACACCAGATCTTGAAGGTCAAAGGGATTTTCCTCAGACAAAATGACGAAACAAACCTTCCAGAGGTTGCTCCCAAGAAACCGGGCAGTACAAATGAAGGAACTGAGACACCCTCATCAACTAGGCTTACCGATGGCGAACACCAATGATGAGATGTGCAGGTACGCTGTGGACTATTTTGAAGATATCATGACGACTAGAAGGCCGTGCGATACCATGGAGGATGACATGTCCCTGCTGTCACCGCTCTGGAATAATTTCACAGTTCGGCTTACAGCAGATGGAAGACTATGGCTAGACAGACCAGTATCGGAGGAGAAACTGGCCGAAACAATCAAGGTCATGGCGCGGGGCAAAGCCCCAGGTGACGACGGCCTGCCAATCAAATTCTTTGCAAGCTGCTGGGACTCGCTAGCGGGTGATCTCACAGAGATGTTCAACGAGGTGCTTAATGGGGGCAGACTAGGAAAGTCAATTACAAGGGGAATCATCTCCCTGCTCTTCAAGAAAGGCGATCGCTGTGAAGTGCGGAACTGGCGGTCGATATCCCTAGTGAATGTAGTTTATAAGTTGCTGGCCAGAACCCTGGCCAGCAGACTGAGCAAGTTCCTGCCTGGATTGGTCCAAAGGGACCAGGGCGCATTCGTCCAGGGTCGCTCCATCTTCGAGAATGTTGTCACGACGATAGAGGCATTGAAACTCGTTGACAGGGAGGACGAGGAGACGGCGGTTCTTCTCCTGTATTTGGAGAAGGCATATGATCGGGTCAACTGGACCTTCGTAATTACAACTTTGAAGGTGGCCGGCTTTGGAGAGGCGTTTTGCAGATGGGGGAAGGTGCTGTACCTTTTCTCCTCGGCGGCAGTCTGTGTCAATGGAGTCATCTCCAACGAATTTAAGCTCTCAAGGTCGCTGTGCCAGGGATGCCCGCTGGCGCCTCTTCTATTCGTCTTGCATTTTGGAGCCGCTGTTGTCCAACATCAGATGCCACCCAGAGATAATCGGACTGTGCCTCCCAAACGGCAGAGAATGCAGGGTCAAAGCGCTTGCTGACGACCTGTTCGCTATCTCGGTAAACGAGAGGCCGTCGCTGGAGGTGCTGAAGGGTTGCCTGGTGGACTTCGGTGAACTTTCGGAAGCCGCTGTCAACTGGAACAAGTCAACCTTCTTCTTGCCTAAACAGTTTCCGATGGCAGTTCAATGGGGTATGGAAAGAATTCATGCGGAAGCTGCAGAGAGGTTCCTGGGCGTGCAGATTGGATTGGCGGATTGCTCCTCGGCTCAGGAGGTAATTCTGCAGGAGAACGTAACCAGGAGGGTCAAAAGTTGGGGAAAGGCATTCCATCTCTCGTTGATTGGTCGGGCCTTAGTAATTATGGGTTCTGCCTTTGCGCTCCTCTGGTATGTGGCAACGGTTCGTAACTTATCCCCGCAAGTACTCAAAACTATTAAGGCGGTAGCCAGACGCTTTATTTGGAAGCCAGAAGGGGACCCGGAAAAGGGGTTCATTTCAAACGTTGCATGGGATGTGGTCTGTGCGCCTAGGGAGGAAGGTGGTCTGGCACTTCTAGACCCAGCCGCACAGAGCACATATCTCCTGGCCAGATGGGTGGTCCTGGTGGCAGAAGCAGGAGGGAGTTGACTGGATTTTCCTAGCAGAAGCGCTGCTTGCTCAGGAGTGGAACTTCAGACGCCAGTCAGACGTTTGGGTGGCCATCATGTCGAAATCTTTTGTGAGGAGGCGACCAAGCTCTCAGTTCTGGCGGGATGTGTTAGTGGCATGGAGGAAGGCGCAACCAACAGTTGCGATCCCCCCCAGGTCAAAGGAGGAGGTGAGGAGATAGCCGCTGTTCGAGAATGACTGGATCGAGGATGAAGAGGGAGAGCCGTTCACGTTGGCAAGGGAACCTGGAACCTTCGGATTGAGTTGGCTGCAGAGGGGTATCTCTACAGTAGGAGATCTTTGAGATGACACTACAAACCAGTGGAAGCCGGATTCCCAGCTCAGACCCAGCTTGGGGTGACTAACGCTGCAGGAAGAGAGGGAGGATTGTCTGAGAAGAGCCATTCCGGAATCTTGGAGGGAGCTGCTAGGTCCCGGGGGCATTGATCCCCCGGGGACTTGCTACAGTTGGGATAATGGAGAAGAGGGATGGTACTGCAGATTTGAGAGCTGGTTTGAAGATAGCTCAGGACGCTGCTGGCTAGAGACGTACAGACGACAGTCCCCTAATATGCCGCCCCTAGAAAGAAGAGCGATGCACTTTCAATATGGTCTCAGAGGTTTAACGGAGGTGAGGGTGAGGTTGCAGACGCCTGCGGGGGTAGGTCTCCCCATGATCCCTCTCTTGGTTGTGAACGGGACTGCACTTAAAAGTCTGAGGATTGACTCAGCAGTCTGGGGATGGGTAGTGGAAGGGGAAGCACATCACAGGTCTGGAAAAGCTAAGCTCGAGGGTCATTCAGAAAAGAAACTCTCCCGGGATTCCGATCACAAACAGAATATCGCCGCGATGGGACAGAGCCCTTCCGGCATTGGCCCCTCCAGGGGAGTGCGAGTTAACCAGGCTCTGGGAACAATTGAAGGACATTCCATCCCAAAAGCTAGCTTCTTTATTATGGCTCCAATCTCACCTGGCGATTCCTACTGCCACCTGGTTGGCAGAAAGAGGGATGGATGTCAATAAGATGTGCGACCGCTGTCAGGCCCAGGAGGAGACCATGGAGCATCTCTGGTGGAGCTGTCCAAAATCAAGGAAGTGGTGGAGGTGGTGGGGAATGCACTGGAGAAGGATTGCTAACCAGCCCAGTCTGGTAGGGAAGCGCTGGGTATTGCTAGGAGCAGTACCTCAAGGGCTAAACGTCTCAGAAGGCTGGGGCTATATAGCCCAAGTGGGTCGGGCCATCATGTTTTGGGTGATCTGGTTGGATAGAAATAGCCTAAGGTTTCAGAGAGAAAGCTGGTCGGAGGATCAGGCAGAAGCCACGTTCATAGCCATGCTCGCTACAGCAATCAGGGCTGATTGGTCATGATGGGTGCAACAGGGAAACCGGACCAGCGGATTATCCTGGTTTGGGAAAACTTGGTGCTCTGGCGGTCGCCTGGCCCATGTATCTCCAGAAGGTAACCTGGTACTGTGCAGATGGATCGAGCGTCGGTAGACAGGATAGTAGTGGTAATGGTTTGGCAGGATTCCCGAACTAGGGCACTCGGTTCGGGACTGTCTCTGGACTCCAGACCGCGGGAGGTCAATAAGGGGTGGGAGGTGGTAGAGTGTCACGGTTACCCGGAACTACATAAGTTCCAAGCGGCGGCTTTTGGGCTGGTATCAGGCCGGTTTAGGCCTGTCTGTAGTCTGCAGTCAGGTAGGTTGGTCTGGGGTGGTTGGTCTAGGTGGAAAGGTCTAGCCTCAGAGTCAGGAGCTTGGTTGCGATAGGATCCCAAGAATAAGTGTGATGATTAAAACCGTTTGGCAGTACTGATACCAGGGGTGAGATTGATTGATACAGAGTTGAGATGGGTGCAAGTAAGAATGATACTGTGAATTCGAATGTTACAGAGTAGGATCATGCTGGAATCATGCAGGGGGACTCATAAGCTAAATCGGCTGACGCTGCTGAGATAACTCCGGGTTGAATTGTGAGGTCCCCGGCCTCGGATGATTTGCTTTGATATGTACTGTGTTAAAAAAAAAAAAGAAAAAAGAATCCAGTATTTTTCGTTCTCCCTGGTTCATGTATGTATACATCTTTCTGTCTATCTACATTGTTATCTACCTTTCTCACCCTTTTCTTTGCCTGCTTGTCTATGTATGCCATCTGTTGATCCAGATAGCGTAGCTGCCGATCTACCTACCGTCTTCCCCTGAATAGAACGCTGAACAGAAAACAAAGAAGAAGAAAAAAAGGCGAAAAAATAAGTGCAAATAACGAGTAAGCACGGAAGTTGAAGGAAAACAGAAGCAAGGGGCTGTCTTTGCTTCTTTTTGCCTCCCCGCTGTCTTGTGCTGCTGTCCCCATTTTTGTGGTTCACGTTCGCCGCTCCTAGTCTCATTGGCCGTGTTGCAGTTTACAGGATGATTTTGTGCTCTACTGTCTTCCCCCCCCCCCATCCCCCCAAAAAAAAAAAAACCCAAAAATTGCCCCAAGTACTGCTGTCATGACCGTGCATTCTATTCGGGGGAAGATGATAGTTTCAGAACAGTAAGCAAGAAAGCTTTTGGGAGTGAGGGTGTCTCTGAGTCAACCCACTTACCCGTTTGTGAGAGTGAGCACTCAAAGAGAAGAAACGCCTGCAGGTCGAACTAGAATTTAATACTGCTGTTTCATCCTGTATGATCAAAAGGAGGTTTTAGTGGGTGGGTGATTCCTCTTTTCTTCGTTGCTCTCCCCAGTCTCCTCCCTTCTTTCCTCCTGCCCTCCTCCCTCTTCTCCCCCCCTCCCTCTTCCCCCCGCCCCCTCTCTCTTCCCCTCCCACTTTCCCTCCCATTTCTCTCTTCCTCCCCGTGCCCTGATACGAGCTCAGAACACCAGGCTTGGAAGCAGCCATCATTTGAAGAAAGCGTAATAGCTCTCAGTGGTTTAGCTTCATCGCGTGGTGGTTAACGGAGGCCCAAAATTTCAGCGTTTTTTGTAATGCTATTTATAAGAAATCCCGAAGGCCTTTTTAACCAAAAAAAATCATCATTCCATAGAGTGCACACCATATTAAACCACCAGTACCTGCCGGTTGTTAAGGCCCGTGGCTCAGCCTACCGGTAGGCCGGTCGTTCCCGAGCCTCGGACTTTATTGCCGAGCCTCGGACAACCGGTAGGACATCACGGAAAACAAAAAAAACAAAAAAAAAACAAAAAAAACAAAAACATTACATACAACGTTCAGCAAAAGAAAAGAAAAAAAAAA